TTTTTTTTTTTTTTTTTGCTTTTCTGAAAGTTAACTAAGGTGGAAAAGACTGCAACTTTTTTTTGTGATACAGATTTTCCAAAATTTTTTGAAAGCATTTATGAGTTTATTCATTATATCCGTAAAACTCAGTTTACGATATACGTGTTTTTTGATCTGATTAACGCTGTTAATGCAACAAAATGTTCAAACTTACAGAAACTGTAGTATTCTTTTTATGATTTTTTTCGTCAAAAAAAAAAAGAAAGATGATAAAACTAAATACAGTTTTGCCAACTTGTTACCAAAGATTATGCAGTCTAAATGCATAAGAAATTGATCTAAATAGGGTAGTCAGCTGTTGTTGATTAATCCTAAATATTTAGCAAATTTCTTGAATTTGTTGTTGTTGTTGTTGACTGATACTTACTGATACTTATTTTTCACCTTTATTTCTCCTGTTTACACAGCTAATTGTTGCACCTTTTTAATGCTTAAACAAAAAAAAAAAAAAAAAGTAAAAAGTTAAAATATTGATAGAATAGTTTTGAAAAATTTTTAAGATTTTTTGAAAGAAAAAAACAACTATTGTTTCAAAAAAAGAAAGCAATCTTTTCTAATTCCAAAAATTGAAATCTGCTTTTTTTCTTTCTTCTCACATTGTTTCTTTGTAAAGTAATTTCTTTTAGAAATTGTCAATTAAATTTAATTTTTGCAGTTAAAGTAACCAAAAAAAAAAAAAAGGAAGAAAAAATTTAGTAGCATTTAATTGAATGTTAGAATATATTACTGACTAAATCATTTTTTTTTTCTTTTCAAACTTAAGCAAAAAGTTAAAGTAATTGAAAGAATTAAAACATAATTTGTTGAGTAGACAAAAGTAAAACTGTTTCTCAAAAACGTCACAAAAAAAGAGGAAAAAAATCAAAATTAGCAAAATCAAAACAAAAAAAAAAAGTAAAAAAAATGTATACCAGATTGAAGCGGTGACAGATTAAGTGCCATTGAACTAATGTCTTAGCAACAGCAATACTAAATACACTTCATTTCAGTACCTTTGATAGAAAAAAAAAAAGCCTGAAAAAAAACTTTACTGAAAAAGCAAAATGAAAAAAAAAAAAGTACAAATACAAAACAAAATTATTATGAAAGTTAGACTAAAAAAAAATTTTTTTTTTTTATTTTTTGACGTCGTAACCGGAAATAAAATATTATTTGTTGAAAACAAAACATTCGATGAAACATCACCTAAAGTTTGGCATAAAAAAAAAAAACAAAAAACATTGTCATTCCGTGATATCATTGTTTAAGCATTAGAAATAAAGCTCGGTATAGCCAACTATAAGAAGCTACTTGATAGCATAAGCTAAGAAGGTGAAAAACGAGGGCAGGCAAAAGTAAGACAAGACAAGACAAGGGAAAGCAAGGCAAGGCAAGGTAAGGAAATTGAAGGGAAATGGAAGGGGAGAAAAATGGATGGAAAAAAAAGGGCAAAAACTAGTGGAATGAGATTCCAAGATTTCAGCAAGAACTAATTTTAGGCCAATACTGTTCTAATAATAAATAATTTTGCTTGATCTTTTATATCCTAATAAAGGTGTATGCATTTAGACTAAAAAAAAGCTTTTTTTATTCTTTATTCACAAATCACTACCCACTACTACTGTTGCACTTTCATATTTACTCATCGAATATTATTTACACTCCCACAACACTATTAAGAAAGCAAAAAAAAAAAAAATATGACGTTCAAAGAAAACTTCAAATTTAATAAAATGAAAATTTTTAATTTTTTTTTTTTCTTCATTTTTGTTTTGAACAATTTTAGCTACTGTACCGATATTGAGTGCTATTTTTTTGATATACCAAAACCCCGATAAAGATAATGTCAAAAGAAATGTTTTTTTGCTTTAGTAATGCTCAGTCAATGAATCAGTTACAGGTAACAAGAAAACAAAGAAAAAGC